GAAAGGGAAAATGTTCATGTGTAGCCAGAAAAAGTGTTCACGTCAATGGAAATTATATATATAGACATATAAAATAAATATAACATGAAGAATACATCTACTTGTACATGTTGTTTTTTGTCAGATTTTAAACTTTTAGAAAATGATTTTCCTTTTTGAAAAATGGGATCCATGGAGCGGGAGCTGCAAAACAGATTTCTTACTAAAATATCGCCAATATGTCTGAACCAAAATCGACTAGATTCAAGTTTACTACTTCACATGTGAAGTCTCTATTGTTAAAATGGAGTTAGTAGGTTCATCTCACCTTCTCCTTTGGTGCTTTATTATGCCCCTAACCTTGCTTGATTTTCTATGGATTTTTTTTGGTAATCTCAACCGATACAATAAAAACCAACGTATATAGAGTATCTTGTAATAATATGAACCAAAACAATATTTTACTTTCCTTGTCCTACTCATTTCCTTAAAACAAGAAAGAACATCCATTCATTTATGGAAAGTACCATCTAGCATGGAGGAAAAGATCACGTTAATTATAGTGAGTATCACTCTGTTATGGTTTTGAGAGTAGCATGCATAGTGCAGCTAAATACCTCAAGCGAAGATCGCCTTGATTTAGGAAAAGTACCATTTATGTGGGCTCTTCCTCGAGCTTTAGCTCCATTGAGGTGGCGGATAGTGGAACGTGGAGGCGGCGATCAGGGGGAGGGGGAGGCAGTGGCAAAAATGGCCAAATGGGCGGGCCCCGCCTCGGTTTCGGGTGGGTCCATGTTGTCGGATGTGCAAGTGACGGATGTCCGGACGCTCGCAAACCGCAAATTTGGTTCCGGATTGTGGGATTTCGGACATACGAATTCCCACAAATCGCCCTTCAGTTTGTGGGATTTCGAACATCTGGGCTGGTCTAGACAATTTTGGTGAACGCCGCTAGATGCTGAAAAACGTCCAAACCGATCCATATTGGAATTGCCCTAAGGGATTGGGATGCCCGGTTGTAGATGCGCTAAGCAGGCAAGGCGAAAAAACAGAGAAAAAGAAGCATCGGCATGCAGCTCCCCGGCCCGGTCGTCCTAGTTGCGTATCCGGGGACACAAGGCATCAACCAACCCCGCTGAGTTCTCCACACCTTGGATGGAGCCCCTCACCTGACGCCAAATCAGCAACCAAAGAGCAGCTAGCGTCGACTAATCAATCCTGCCTGGTAGGATGGTAGTAACAAGTCTACTAGAATAACACAATGCAGGCGGCGATGTTGCTTCGGCCCGGCGCCAACGTACGTCCGCCGCGGCCGGCCAGTCTCGCCACGCACAAGTCAGAGCCATCCGCACTCCAAAGCCATTGACAAATCCGCCCGTCCGGCAGACAAGTGCCGAGTAATTAGCTAGCATGTCCCCCATCATCAGCCGCGCGCGATCGATCGAGCCAGTGAAGTGAAACGCACACTGCTCGCCACACGAACGTTCCCGGGTTCCTACGCCAGTCCTGCCTTGCGTTCGGGGAAATCCATGCGCGCGCCCGCCGGACGTCCCAGCTAACCGCCGCGAGCTCACCCCCGGCAACCCTATGATTGATTCACCTTTTACCTACTTCTGGTGGCAGCTTTCCGCGCGACCGCCCGGCTGATTGATCGATCGATCGCTTGCTTGCTTGTTCTCCGGAGCCATTTCCGCGGCACTCTTCCTTCCTCGCCCCCCCTCTTGCCGTTTGTTTAAGGAAGGGACGGGCGTCGGCTGAGCTAACCCGATTGGACTTTGCGCGAGGCTAGGCGAGGCGAGGCGAACCGATATGCTCTCCAGCTATAGGCTATAGGCCGGGGAACACGCCCAGTGTCCCACGGGGGCTCGTACGACGGCGACGGTTGACAGACAGCAAACTGACGAGGATCGGCGGCTTTCGGAGCTAGCTCCTCCTACTTCCGGTCCGGCGTTTGCCCGCATCCGGACGCTACCACCAAGGCCGATAACACATGTGCTTTCTCCGGGGGGTTGTTTTCTGCCAGCCGGCATTTGCATCATCATTGCGTGCGTGGAGGTGCTTTGCTTCAGCTTGAGGGGTTAGGAGAGGCAGGTGCCCGTTGCTTGCTTGCTTGCTTGGTCGATCAGGCCGGCTTAATTAGGCCTAACTAACTCTGCCCGACTGTCAGTCAGTCCGTCCGTCCCTGTTTCTCAGGTGTGAGCTAACTATAGCCCGGCCTGAACCTGAATATATAGATCGATGCGTGGCAGTGATGAACACCAGTTCACCACTGTCCACTGGGACGTGTATGTGTTTCAGAAGCCATCCAGCTATGACGGGGATGGCACCGAGCAGGTAGCAACGCCGAGGAAGTTACCCCTTGGGGGCGCCGAGGCAGGACGAGCAAGCAAGTCCACAATTTTCATGTACGCATGCTGGATTCATTCCAACCCAGCCCGGCCGGGCCAGCACCTGTCAACCTTAACGGCGACTGGTTCGGCCGGAGACGAAAGTTACTGCCCCTCCACATCGATCGAGCTTGCTTGCTCGCGCGCGCCAGTTCGATCGTTGACGCCCCCGGTCGCGGCCACTTCTGCAACATGCCTCCTTGGCGCCACCCGCGGCCTGTCCTTGTCGTCCGGATTTTGTACCGCCGGTGTCGATGATTCGGGTGAAGAAAAAAGAAGCGGCGTCGTAATCGCGCTGAATTAGACAGAAATAACTGGGTCGACATATGCATAATTGTGAAGGTACGCAAGAGGCGCAAGAAAGCTACTAGGATCAATTGGAGGATGTGAAATCGCAAAGTCAGGCGCTGATGCCCGTGATCTATCCCGGTTGAAGTTTTCTGACTGTGCAGGCCCTCTTGAAGAAATATCTGTCTATCTATCCGCCAGTCTGGGCCGATCATCATTGTGTGGTTACTGTGGAGCCGAGAGCCCCTGGGATTCGGGAACTTGTGATGCCCGACTGCCTGGAAGGAGGGGGCAGGAAGCAACTCAAAGCCAGGGTTAAAGCAACGTTTGTTTTAGAAAGAAAGAAAGAAGAAATAGTTTAAGGGTTGCTAATGGTGGGCTGCCTGCATGATTAGCTACAAGTAGAAGCAAAGGAAAAGGCCCAGCCTCATGCATGCATGCACATGCATGATTCGTTCCCAGTTCACATGTGGCGCCATGGCTGGTAGCTTGTATCGTATCACATACTAGTAGCACTAGTAATTAACATGCAGAGCACATGGTGTATGATTGATCAGCCCTGTTGATTAGCGTAAAAGACATCGCCCGCGAAACAACGTCCAGTCAAAATACACGTGCATAGCCTGCTCTGCTCGAGTAACATCTCTCAAGCAAGAGCATATGCGGTATCAGTAGCTGCCAGCAGCCCAGCACGCAGCTAGCTAGCTCTGTACAACGATCACAATCACATACGCCAGGCCATTACGTACTTAAAATTTCTATACGTTTGTGTCGTAGCACTGCCATTACGTACTTAAAATTTCTATACGTTTGTGTCGTAGCACTAGTTTATACAAATACGTGACATCTTCACATCTACTACTATTGAACAAGGATTATACATGACATGACAGCGTCAAATACATAGACAAATAACTAGACATACTGAGATCGATGGCATTATCACATCCCTTTCAGCTTTGAAGCGGCGCCTGAATTTTTCTACAAATGTATTCATTCGGCGCCTCACGAGCTTTCGTGCTCGACTGGAAGAGTTGGGGGAACAATTTCAGTGGTGAGGGAGACGGGATCTTGTCTATTCCAACAAGGAATCATACTGCTTAAGCAATGGACGGCGGCAGGATGGAGTCCGCTGCACGCCAGAGCGCGCGCGCGTATGCAGACCCTATAAATTCCCCGCCTTTTCCGTCTCCACTCCACTCATCGACCTCCTCATCTCTCCTCTACCAAAACTGTACCGCCAGAATTGTACTGCCTTCCCTGGCTGATCGGTGATCGCCGATCAGCTTCTGACCTTCTACTTGCACCTTAAACCTGCAACTATACGCTGATGGAGAAGATGCGGGCGGCAGGGGAGGCGCCGCCGACGCAGCAGCAGCAGCAGCTGCCTCCGGGGTTCCGGTTCTACCCCACCGACGTGGAGCTGGTGCTGCAGTACCTCCGCCGCATGGCCCTCGACCGCCCGCTGCCCGCCGCCGTCATCCCCGTCGTGCACGCCGCCGCCATGCCCGACCCCTGGGACCTCCCCGGTGCGTGCCCGCCCAAAGACATTATTAATTAGTTCTTGCACGCATGTCCTCATGAAAATTACTACAGTATGAGCTAAGCTTCTCAACTAATTTCGGTCCGCTTTCGGTTGGTTGCTGCAGGCGCGAGCGAGGGGGAATCGGCCTACTTCTTCAGCCAGAGGCAAGGCCGTGGCGGGCGGCGGAGGAGGGCGGCCGGCGGGTACTGGAAGGCCACGGGGAAGGAGAAGCCGGTGTTCGTGCAGCTGCCGGTTGGCAAGCGGCTGCTCGTCGGCGTCAAGACGGCGCTCGCCTTCCACCGCGGCAAGTCGCGCACGGACTGGGTCATGCACGAGTACCGCCTCGCCGGCGCGGCGGAACAGAACAAGGGTGCCAATGACGGCTCGCAGAGCAGCGAATGGGTCGTGTGCCGGGTGTCTCTGAAAAGCAGAGCAAGGAGGACGGCAGCCGGCGGCGAGACGACCGGCGATCACCAGCAGGAGCAGCCATCACCGTCGCCGTCTTCGACCTCGAGCTGCATCACGGACCACGCTTGTCACGCTCCAGACCAAGAAGAGGTCAGCAGCAGCACAACTAGCCATTGCCAGCAGCATCCAAGACGCTAAGCTCCAGCTGCTGCTGCAGTGCGATCATGCCTCCCAAAGAGAGGCCTAGCCAGGCATTTAAATTCCAGCCTTCCTTGTACCTGTCCTTGTATACGTACGGCCGCAGCGCCATGATAACCATGAGAATTGGGTTGAAGTCTTGAAGAGAAGAAACCTCCATTAAAGCAGCTGCGGCATCCGCGTCAGCTGTAACTTGCAAGTCTCCCCAAGACGCTCACTCATCAACGAAAGCGAACAAGGATTAATTAAGCCCGCAGGAACATATAACATCAGTCGCTCGCTGCCGCAGCTGCAACTCGATCGGCTGTCGTTTCCGCGCGCACCACCGGTCCCTTTGGCTCTACTCTAAAATTTGAAATGGAAAAATGGCCTAAAATTAGAAACGGAGGCCAAACGGGCAACGCTGTCGCTCGTCGAGGCGAGCGACGGCGACGGGAAGAAAGGGACCTGCGCGCGCGCTTCGCCGCGGACAGCGCGCCAAGCTCTGCACGTCCCAAGAGGCAGAGGCAGAGCGACCGGCCGAGAGTGGCCGGCATGCACAACTTGGCTTGGCCCTTTGCCGGGGTGGATCGGCTCCGAGATCTCTGCCTTGGACGCAGGGGGTAGGCTGCGGATGCGGATCGCGTCCTAGCACTGGCGGAAGGCGATCTGTTGGCGAGTTGTCTCACGGCTCTGAACTCTCCGTGCAGGGTGACAGGCGCCGCACCAGCGCCGACGGAGTTTGGTCTTGTGGCCCCCCTCTGAGTTGTCCCCCTTTTTCTGCCAGTACAACGAGTACACAATTCAGGAATACTTCCAAAATTCGGCACGGGCCGCTACACAGAAAAATCTAGTGAAGCGTTTGATTGCATGCATACAACGTAATCAAAGATGAAAAAGATAGCCTTTTACATTTGTGTCCTTAACTCGAACCCACTACTCACATTTACCCCTAATTTCGAAGTCTACTCAAATTTGCCTCTCTGTCGTTAAGTGACCTTATAAAAATGCCCTTCCGTTTCTTTTCCGTCCGGTCAAAGGGGTTTGACAGTCTACAGGGCGTTTGTTGGACATTTTGCCCTTGCCTCCATGTGCCACTTACATGTGGGACCCAGTCAAAAAAAAGGAAAAACTCTTCCTCTCACCCTCTCTCTCACACACTTACATGTGGGCCCCAAACAAAATAGATACATAAAAAATCCCTCCCACCTCTCTCCCCTACCTCACGACCTCTCCGTCTCACCTCCGGCGAGCGCCGACAGGCTGGATTGTGCGCCGTCGGCACCAGCTCCCCACGCGCAGCAGCCCTCCCTCCATTCCATTCTCCCTCTCCCTCCCTCCCTTCTTCTCCCTCCCTCTCCCGTGACTGTGCCCTGGACTGGCGACGCGCTCCAGTGACCAAAGCCACAGTGACGATGGACGAAATCGCAACTCCGGCGACCAACTTGTTGGCGAAGAGTATAGTTCGGACGAGTGCGCTAGGGCGCGTCCAGTGGTACCAACAGAGTGTGAAGGGGTCGTCGGAATCAACCGCGGCGACGAGCTAGGCGGCGGCCGACAGCGGTGCTCGACGGACTCGAGAAGGCAGCCATGGATCCAGTGGTTTAGGGGGCTGGGCGACATCTTAGGGGCACCACGAACACGATTAAGACATTGATTTGTGGTTTAGCAGCATAGGGGCGGCGAATCGACGATGGCGCTCCGACGGCCGCATACGAGGAAGACGGTCGATCCAGTCATTTTTGTGAGGTCCTGCTCGAGCTGCTCCTAGGAGTAGACGAAGTCGAGGCGTGTGCGTCTCCGGGATAGCTTTTCAGCCGTCTGTGAAGACAATGGCCGCGGCAATGGCGAAGGTCACGACGACGGCCGTCCTGGGATGCAGCTGAGGGGAGGAGAGCGAGCGGGGGAAGGGAGGGAAGGTTAGCTAGGGTTGTCCAAGGGCCTGCCGGCGTCGCTAAGTAGCCCTACTCGAGCTACTACGGCGGCAGCTGTCGAACAGCGGGCGACGGTGACGCGCGCCGGCGCGTGCAGTCGATGAGCTGACGAAGACGACGACTGGGGGAGATGGGTGGGCCTGGCGGTATGCACATGGGCCGAAAGTGCACATTGCACTTGGGCCAAAAGGAAGCACTCTCTTTCTTCTCTTTAATTTCTGTTTTTAGGGATAAAAATGTCCAACAAACGCCCCATAGACTATCAAACCCTTTTGACTGGACGGAAACGGAACGGAAGGGCATTTTTGTAAGGTCACTTAACGGCAGAGGGGCAAATTTGAGCAGACTTCGAAATTAGGGGCATATCTGAGTAGGTGGTTCGACTTAGGGACAGAAATGCAAATGGCCCAAAAAGATATGTTTGGTTGTGTACAAGGAGACCTGATTTGCATCGGCACGAAACTTAAAGCATCCCAGAGCCTGACTCGTGTGAAACATTCAAATCAGCCGTTTCTATCGAGTCAGGCTGAGTTGGGTGCAAAAGTAGGACACGACGTACGCCGTGGTGCAGGGGGGAATCGGGCGGAGATGGCGGAAGAAGAAAATCGGTGAAAGTGGGCTCCCCTAGATATAGGACAAACCCTTTCTCGGTTCTTAGCACCGGCGGCGAAGGCGACTCAGATCTACGCAAGCGGCGGCGGCAACAACACTCTCCGATAGCATCGGTTTCTTC